ATCAAAGCGAAACAGCTAGATATCACCCACGCCTTCCACTCCACACTCGTGGATCCTCTAGTCCCCGAACTCGAGAGGCTTGGGGAGGATTTGATTTTCCGAAGCCCAGCTATTCCCCACGAGAGAGCCACTCAGGAGGCGATCAGTGGGCCTCCAGCTTTCAATGTCTTTGCTTCCCATATGAGGGACCCCGTGTATTTCGACCGAGCAGCCCAACGTCTGGCCCAGAAATACCCCGGCAGCATCTGGCTTGAGGCAGGCTCTGGCTCGGGCGTCACAGCACTGGCCAGTAGAGCGGCAGGATCCCACGGTATGACCTTCCAGTCGATCAACATCACCAGCTCTGGAGCCGTTCAGAATATGGCAGATGCTACGGTGAATTTGTGGAAGGAAGGTGTGAACGTTGCCTTCTGGGAACATGTCGAGCAGACGTCATCTCACTCCCTTCTTCTCCTGCCACCGTATCAGTTCGCTAAATCGAGACATTGGCTGGAGCGCCGGAAGCCGGAAGCCAAGGAGGCAACAGCCGTACCTTCCTTGCCAAAGCCTCCTAAGGGACTTTGGGCATTCATGGGCTTCCAGGACAGTGGTAACACTCACGCCCGCTTCCAGATTCATGCCACATCGGATGAATTCAAGAAGTATGTCTGTGCTCACCTCGTCGCACAAACAGCGCCGATTTGTCCTAGCATGCTGCAGCATGTCATGGCAAGGGAGGCACTGGCAAGCCTCCTGGATGACTCAGATATGATTCCCGAGCTTGAGAATATGGAGAATGACGCACCGTTGTTCCTTGACGAGTCTAAGCTTGTCTGGCTCGATGCGTACAGAACCGATAGTGAATCGACTAGCTGGGATTTCCGCATCACCAGCGTCAATAAAGATAACGCGGGAGATAATGCGACGAAGCACGTTTCAGGCCGGCTGTTGTTCCGCTCTTTCCGTGATGCCTCGAAGATCTTTACAACATGTGAACGTCTGGTAGACCGACGACGTGCTCTTGCACTGCTGGACGGACAAGAGGCGGAACAGGTGATCCAGGGCAGCCGTAACATCTACAAGGTCTTTGCACCCGTTGTGCAGTACAATGACGATACCTACAAGGGGTTGCAAAAGATCGCCGCTACTCGTAACGAGTCAGCGGGTCGCATCGTCATGCAAGACGCGGCACAAACGATTCTCAGCGTGGGGCTCGCAGACACCTTCTGCCAAGTGGCTGGCATCTATTTGAACTGCATGGCCGAGTCTGAGGACGGCAAGATGTATCTATCCAATCGTGTGGAAAGGTGGATCCGCTCCCCAGATGTCCCACTGGACTCGCGACCGGAACATTGGGAGGTGTACGCGATTCATAATCACCCCTCTCCTAAGGAATATGTAAGTGATCTGTTCGTCTTCGACGCGGCTACCGGCCAGTTGGTATGGGTCATACTTGGCCTTCACTTCGTTGAGGTGTCCTTCGCCGGCATGTCTCGTCTTTTGGGACGCTTTGCTGGTGTCCAGCCTGCACAGCAAGTGCCAGCTCCAGAACCCCTTGCAGCACTACCCGCTATTGTGTCTCCCGCTGCGAAGGCACCTGTGAACAAACCAAAGGCCAAGGGCTTTACCGACTCAGCAGCACCGCAGAGGCAACAGGCAAAGCCAAAGAAGGCTCCAGGACGTGATGTCTTGGATGGTGTCCGGGATCTATTCTGTAACTTGCTTGGTCTCGAACCGGAGGATATCCAACCTAGTTCAGATCTTGTGGAGTTGGGCATCGACTCGCTGCTAGCCATGGAGGTCGCTCGCGAGGTGGAGAAGGCGTTCAGCATCAAGTTCGAACTCGAAGAGCTCATGCAAATGACCGATGTTCGGAGCCTAATGAAGTGCATTCAAGCCAACATGGGTGCATCCGACTCTTCCGTGACAGATGGAGATCTGAGCGATGACTTCGAAGAGACCTCAGGAGATAGCGGCATCCAAACTCCGCCAAGTGAGCCTGCTGAAGAAGTGAAAAGTGTCGTTACCGGTAGTGCGCTGAGTGCTGAACTCATTATTGATGCTTTCACTGAAACCAAGACTCTGACCGATCAGTTTATCGAGCAAAGTAATCTGTCTGGCTATTCCAATTACGTCCAGCCAAAGCTTACTGAACTAGTCGTGGCCCACACACTGGACGCCTTTGAGCAATTGGGCTGCTCGCTTCATTCTGCACAGGCAGGCCAAACCATCAAGCCCATTCCCCATCTTCCAAAGCACGACAAGGTCATGGCTGTTTTGACTGGTCTATTGGAGAAGGCTCGCCTGGTCGACTTGGATGGCTTGTCAATGATTCGCACAGCTGTTCCTTTGCCAACCAAGTCCGCTCCGCAGCTGCTCCAGGAACTCCTGCGCGAATATCCCGAGCATTCCTATGATCACAAGCTCACTAGTCTGACCGGATCAAGACTAGCAGACTGCCTGAGTGGTAAAACAGAAGCCATTCAGCTGCTCTTTGGCAGCGCCGAAGGACGTGAGCTTGCTGCCGGTATGTACGGAAAGTCTCCAATCAATGTGGCCTGGCTTCGTCAGCTCCAGCAGTTCTGGCAGCGCTTCATAGCCCACACCCCACAAGAGCAACAGGAGCCAATTAACATCTTGGAAATGGGAGCCGGGACGGGAGGCACCACGGCAGCTCTGTTACCACTGCTCGCCAGCTCCGGCGTCCCCGTCCGCTATACCGCCACCGACATCTCTCCTTCACTGGTGGCAGGTCTCCGGAAACGTTTCAAGAACTACCCCTGGATGTCTTTCGAGGTTATTGATATCGAAAAAGCCCCACCCACCAAGCTTCTCGAAACCCAGCACGTGGTACTGGCGACAAACTGTGTACACGCAACCCACAGTCTGGCGGCGACCACCAAGAACATCCACAGAATCCTTCGTCCCGACGGCTTCCTCATCATGCTGGAAATGACCGAGGCCGTGCCATGGGTAGACTCAGTATTTGGACTAGTAGAAGGCTGGTGGCTATTCAATGACGGTCGGACCCATGCCCTCGCTCAACCCGACCTCTGGCACCGGACATTGCGTGCTAACGGATACGGCCATGTCGACTGGACCGACGGCCAGCTTCCTGAGAATTCGATCCAGCGCATTATTATTGCCCTTGCGTCTCCTCAAAGCCAAAACCTGGTATCTATCTGTCCCCCAGCTCCTTCGATCCCCACGGCTGACCTTGCTGCGCGTCAAGTGGTAGTGGACTCCTTAGTCCAGAAACACACCCTCGATTTTACCGCCCCTACCTCGCTCTCGACATCCCAAACAAATTATGATTCTTCTCGCTATGTTCTAGTGACCGGTGCCACTGGCAGTCTCGGATCTCATCTGGTTGCCCATTTCGCCGCGCAACCGGACGTTCGTAAAGTCATCTGTCTGAACCGGATAAGTGGCTCAGACGCGACAACTCGCCAGCTTGAGGCGCTGCAGTCGAGAGGCTTGGAACTCCATCAAAACCTTGTGTCGAAAGTTGAAGCAATTGAAACCAACTCCTCAGCACCCATGCTCGGCCTTTCCCTCACCGAGTATCAACATTTAGTCAATTGTGTCACTGACGTTGTCCACAATGCATGGGCCATGAGCATGACCCGCCCAGCCCGTGGCTTCGAGCCCCAGTTCAAGGCCATTCGCAATTTAATCGATCTCTGCCGCGACGCTGCCTGTCAACGGCGACCGGGTATACAGAAAATCGGATTCCAATTCGTGTCCTCCGTGTCCGTCGTGGGCTGTCACCCTTTCTTGACCCACAAGGCTCGGGTCCCAGAGCAGAGAGTCAACGTAGCTTCCGCCCTGTCGATGGGGTACGCGGACGCCAAGCTCATCTGTGAGAAGATGCTAGATGAGACGCTGCACAGGCATCCGGAGCACTTCCGCACCATGTCCGTGAGGGTCGGGCAAATCTCCGGGTCCAAGGTCAACGGGTACTGGAATCCGGTGGAGCACCTGGTACACTTGATCAAGTCGTCGCAGTCCCTTGGCGTGCTCCCCGATCTCGACGGTGTATGTTCTTCTTTTGATCTTAATTACCGATTCTCTTTGCTGACAATGTCAATAGGCCTTATCATGGTGTCCCGTCAACGATGTAGCCAGCACACTTGGAGATCTTCTACTAGGGGACGAACCTGCGTATCCAATCTACCACATCGAGAATCCCGTGAGACAGTCCTGGCCCGAGATGATCTCCATACTCTCCGATGCCCTAGAGATTCCGCAAGCCAACATCATTCCTTACGATAAATGGCTCCAACTTGTCCGGAACTGTCCTCCCAGCATTGCGGCATCGGAGAACCCAGCGGTGCGGCTTATCGACTTTTTTGAGACAGACTTTTTGCGCATGTCCTGTGGGGGAATGATCCTCGATACAACACAGAGCAAAGAGCATTCGGCGACGTTGAGAAGTTTGGGTCCCATTGACCGAGAGTTGGTCATGAAGTATATCCGGGCGTGGAAAGATTCGGGGTTTTTGTTGTAATTGATTGTGTGTAATATTGATAGCGAGAGGCGGTGGGCTCAGGTATTTACTGTAGGTACCGACCCTCCGTATATACGGGAGGTCGCTACACTCTTTTGTTCCGCGGTGTTTGGCGTATTTACGGCTTGCTAGCTCTAACTTTTAATATCTTCTATTAATTCACCCAGTTGGGTAGTCTGTTAATTAAATAGCTGTTGGCATTAAGTTATTTGTCTTTAAGAAAAGTCCTTCACTCCAACAAATACTTGACCCAGCCAACATGTCAATCTACTGTTATACCCGTCTTTTCTCAAGTCTAACCTCCAGGCACCAAAACCCCGCAAGGATAAATTCCCGAAGCATCGGAGCCGACTGGCTCGGGGAAGCCTTGTTTTCGGACTAAAATGGTGCTTGGCGACATATCTCCGAAGGGGGAACCGAGTATCCAAACGCCCAACGAACGCTTTATAACCCTTACTATTGGTCCCGGCCATGGCAGCCTTATAACAAAGAAATAGGGATAAATGTTCTTCTTACATCCAGCTATAAGGTCTGAGTAATATTACACGTAGTCTAATCATATATCAGCCTGATAACAGCCTATCCATTCTTAACTTCTATATTCTTGTTATGGTTGTCGCTTCTTTCACACCAGCGGCAGAATAATTCCATTTATACAAAATGTTCCGCTCCCTCCTCACTCTCACGAAACTCGCTTCCCCAGAGTACATCTTCCCCACCGTCGACCCTAAAATCGATGGCGAGGAATGTCGCCACGACTGCGCCGATTGCACGGTCAAGTGGCCGTCCAAGGTGAAAGTCGAGACCACACTCCCGATGTACGGGTATATCAAGCAGTTTCACGCGCATGTACTCGTGGCAACCGGGAAGACGGATTGGGTCGGGAAGGTAGAGCAGGAGAAGGGGAGTTTGATGGAGGCGTTCAAGTCTGATGGGGGGAAGTCGAAACATGGAGTAAGTTTTTATCTATGTTCTAGTCCTATTTACTTTATGGAAGCTATATGTTGATAATGGCATAGAGAATCATGGTTTCCGCATCGAATCTCACACCACCAGAGAGTGAAAACGGACAGATTGATTCCGGGAAGACGACTGTATTACTTTTACCGTCGTTTACCTTCGTGGACGGTGTTGCCTACGGAGATGTGAGACATGTGGTTGATACGTTTATTGATAACCCGAAACAAGAATCCCGGTTGTCGTCACGACCATGTCAACATGACTATGTTGTTCTCCTCTGTTCGCATCAACGGCGTGATGCCCGCTGTGGCATCACGGCACCGTTAATCAAGAAGGAGCTGGAGCGCCATCTACGTGGGCACGGCCTATACCGTGACCTCGATGATGAGCGACCCGGTGGGGTGGGGATTTACTTTGTTTCTCATGTTGGTGGGCATAAGTTTGCTGCGAATGTTCTGATTTATCGGAAGAAGGAGCAGCAAATGATCTGGTTAGGGAGGGTCAAGCCCGAACATTGTGAGGGGCTGGTTAAGTATACGATTCTCCAAGGGAAAGTGGTTCATCCAGACTCGCAGTTGAGAGGTGGGTTTGATCGTATGAAAGGGTTGACTAGTTGGTGATATCTGTGTTTTAAGCACTCTATATAGACTCCTCAACAGAGGGGATTTGGCATGTCAAGGCTTCAATGGTCACGTTTCCGTATCTCTTTCTGCATACTATTGTGGGGTCTTTGCTTTGGCTGTTTCGAAGATGTCATTCTCTCTGCCTAGGTTTCGCTGATAGATTTGCACTGAGCGTGGATATATCCCAACATAAGTTGCATGGGCTATACGTCCGACTAGAAGGATCAATCATCAACTCAATTGCGCTAATATTTGGTTCACGACAAGTCGCCCAAACCATCGCCGTTTGATGCAGGCCCATACTCGATTATGAATTACCTAGTTGTCTCCTAGCGTGGCCGAGTCGGACCTGCATGAATATTATATAAAATACTGAGCCTAGAAATCTATAGCTATTAGTGGAACGTGTGTTGGTCACCATATAAATCCCGTCGTCTTTACCGCGACCATTATCCAATAGGTTATCTTTACCAAATGATTTCATCCCCCTCTAATCCGACAGCACACTGAGGTATTACCTGACTACTAGAGGATCTAAAGACTAATTGCCCGTTGTCTAGGAAGCGAAGCCCAGAACAAACCAACCCCAATAAGCAAACCCAGCATGATCGGCTGCATAACCTGGACACCCGCCCGGGAAGCGATAGCGCCCGTCATGAAAGGGAAAGCAGCGGCGCCTGCCTGGCCCAGACTCGTCGAGAGCCCTGCCAACAAACATAAGTACATGTATTCAAAGCTCTTCGTACAAACAACACTCACCTAAGGCGCCAATTCGAAGTTCCTCCGGCACTACCTGGGTAAGGACATAGAGTCCGATGGGATAGAACGGACCCATGAAGAATCCTGTACATTGACCTGTCAGCCGATCGAGGAACCAACCTGATTTAGACAACCTACCTAATAAGAAAGCCGCGATAGCGATTACAATGATGTTCGGAACTATACAGAAGACGAGCTGCATGGTCATTGCTAAAGCGAGGTACACGAACACCATCCGACGCTCTCCGAAATAGTGCGTGATATCTGCGAGAGCCACACGGCCTAGTGTGAACCCCGTCCAAAATCCGGAAGCTATGTAGCCTACTACTTTTGGATCACCGTTTCTTACGGAGACGATGAATTGAACCATCCAGCCTAACATCGTTAGTATTTCCTTTCCCGGGTTTGTAGTGCTGGTTGGGCCCATGAGAAAATTACTCACCACCGAACGTGACCTCCGCGCCGACATACAAAAAGAAGAACCCGCCTAGAATCCAAACTGATTTATTGGATAGCGTGGCCTTCAATTCCTTGCCGGCTGTGCCGCTGGCGTTTTTCTTGTTAGGCTGGAATAGACCTTCTCGGAACGTCCACCTTAAAAGGCAGAAATTTAACAGCGCCAATAGCAGCATCACGAAGTAAAAGTCCTGCCAGACTGGCGTCCGCGAGGCAATCACATTAGCCACGATAGGTGAGATAATTGTCCCGACGCCATAGACTGCATGCAAAATTCCCAGCCAGCGATGCGCATTGTCCACGGTTGTTGTGAATGTATTCGCCTGAGCATCTTGATAGGCACTCCCCATGCCAAGTAAGAAGAAGGCAGCGACAAATAGTCCGTAGGGCGGATTCCAGTACATCAATAAGAACCCACATATTTGGATCACTGCTCCTAGCACCAATGTACCGCCCGTGCCGATGCGTGAGCACACATGGATATTGGAGAACGAAGCTGTGAGACAGCCGGCACAGTTTACAAGGTAGATCTGGGAGAGCTGGAAGAGGGTGACGCCGTAGGTTGGTCGAATGTAGGGGATTAAGACTCCCAAAGCTGCGTCTGCTTATCATTAGTCCTCGGGTTGAAGACGCGTGAGCAGCAATGTCTCAGTACCGTTTAGACCGACAATTAGAAGGGCGAAATTCGTGCTGATTATCTTGCCTGTGACGTCGCTGGCACGCTTTTGCAGGAGCGGTGTTGTTTCACTCTGTATATGCCCTTCCTCTCTGCTAGAATCATTTTCTGTGGTGGCTGGATCAGGCTGGCTTTCCATCATGATAGCTTAGGGTTTCGATTTTGAACTCCGAAAAGCTTGGGAGGAGTCGAGAGAAAAGGCTGCCAAGTGGGTGGCCTAATATCAGATCGCATCATCAGCTGATCGCGGCTAAGCCCCATCGTGAAAAATAATGTGAGGGGTAGAGGATCGTGCACGCCAGCATATCAGACTGGAGAGATAAGCCAATAGTCAAAAGTATTTCAATAAAACCTAAGAGTTATAAGAATACAGACATTGCTTTGCTGATAACCTTTCTGCCAAGCTGTCCACAGGCAAAAAGTTGTAAGCCAGAAGAGGTACAAAACTCATGCATAAGACGAGGCTTGCGACGAACGAGCGTAGATCTTGTTCGCCAAGCTTACTGTCTCCGACACCAGTATACAGTACGACGAGAGTTCTATACATCGCTACTGTAGCACCTCTTTGTCGAAACCCAACGACGTCAATGGGATCTCTTCCTAGCGCGGTTGGAACAAAAGCCGAGTCGTCGGATTAACACTTCGATAAACCCCAGCCACAACCGGATCCACAGTACAGCCCGACGCTAGCTTCCAATCGTATTTCAAAAGCAAAGTAACAGAGGGCCACCTTCATCTCGTTTGCAGCAAAAAAGCGGCCCGGACAGGCGTGCTGGCCATGACTGAAGGACATGTGGTCAGGGCTGGTGGCCACTAGATGTGCCTTGTTCTCAAAGCCTGGCTTGTCGCGCATTCGTAAAAAGCAGTAAGCGTCGTACTTTTCCGGTTGGTCATTGATCTCGGGATTCATCATATTGCAGCCGTCTACACAGACGCGTTGCCCTTTGCGGATTGTGACATCCTCGTTAAGGCTGAGGTCCTTCCTAGCGTATCGACGCATGGGGACTGTAGGAGGCCTCGTTAGTATGAAATGTCGTCAGACCACTAGGTTAGATCGCAGCTCCCGCATCCCGTTCGGCTTGACAGGCTGTGACTCTTGCAATGCGCTATCAAGCAATTTTAAATTATACAGCGCGGCCTTCTGCCATCCATAAGTGCGTAGAACTTCAACCATCTCCAATCGGAGAGCATCTACCAAGATAGGATCATCAGCCAGAAGGATCAAGGTATGTGCGAGCAGATCAGTCCGGGTGTGAATAGCGGCGAACGAGAGGACTAGTTGTAATGTAGCCGGGTCGTATCGTCGACCATTGGCTTCCGTTTCTGCCCAGTCGGCTGCGTCGTTATAGAAAGGTATCGGCTTGCCTTCAGCCTGAGCTTGAGCTTTCAGTAGACGTCTGTTCGCGATTACGGGAGAAATAATCTCGCGGGCGCAAGAGAGTTCCCTGCGAACCAGGCCACAATCAGAGGAAAGCCAGTGGGCGACTATTCTCAAGGGACGTGGGATAGCCCTTAACATGGAAGCCGCTTTAAAGCTATCCACTGTATATTCTTTGGTAATCTTCAACCAGTCCTCGTTGCGGCATGCTTCCTCTCCCTGGAACACTCGTGAGGACAGGCGCGCGGCTAGATCAAGAATGGCGTCCTTGATTGTAATTTCGGTCCACTCTATTATCTAGTCAATACTCGTCAGCGTGGCTGGTCACGATATCTAGGCTAGCCTGATAGGGCTAGTGCCTATTTCTCGCAAGTGGAAGCCTTGGATATCAGGCCGTAGTATATAGTAACAAAAAAGTCCTACGAACTTCAATTTATTCCCAGGAGGTTCTTCAGCCCTTAGGAATGATCCCAAAGGCTGAAGAAACATCAGTCCGTTGGAGCCTCCCGTTTGGTCTATAATGCCAGATGTTAGCAACCACCACGCTAAAAATCAAGCAATTTAATCCAAACACGGACGACTCTAGTATATGAGAGTCCGTGACTGCAGCGCTTCCTGCCTATCAGATGCTAGTTAGATAATTGCGTAGGCTTTGTGATAGAATGGAGGCGTGAACTATCATCAAATGTTTTCATCCAGTTGAAATCCTGGATACGCAGTTGAGTCTAAACTTGGAGATGCAACCATGATCAAGTTCCCACATTCCTAAGGCAAAACATTCTAAACTTCAGTGCATTGAATATACTATATACAGATCATTCGTTCAATCCTCCACAATTATGCTACTCGCTAGCCTATTTCTATACAACATGAAGCGCTCTGACACACCTGCTAGATGCTTCGTATACATCTGTAGCAACCTGAATCACATCCCCAGGTAATCCTTTTAGTTCAGCCCCTTGAGGAGCTCGGGGAAAAGAAGCTCGTCAAACTCCCACAACGTCGTCTGAAAGTTAACGGAAAAAGCACCGCCAGTCCACCAGGTCGACCGACCACCCTGTAGAGCGTTCAGCTTCTGGAAGAAGCCAGCCTTGACATCCGCGACCGAAACGCGCGCGTGCATGGGGCCGTGAGTGGAAAAATCCACCCAACTCAGCGGCTCGCCGTCGCTCGTCTCCGTGAGGCGACCCGAACGCAGCAGAGTGTTGAAATCGTTCTGGACCAGTCTCTTGGCACCCGCTGTGTCGAGAGTGCTGTTGCCCACAATCGTTACTCGGAAGAGGTCGTCGCCGCCGATGTAGTCAATGCGAGCTGTGAAGGAAGTGTCGGGCAGGGCGAGGTAGTTGTTCGGCGCGGCTGTTGGGGGCAGGTTGAAATAGGACTGGTTGACGGCGAAGGCCGCGTTGTTCACGATACCGGTGTACTCGTTGGTGTAGGTGAATCTGGAGAGAACGTTCTTCTCATTTCGGTCTAAGTCGAACGGGGCCATGTTGGCTGCAGTTGGCTCGATGGCGAGTAAGAGACGCCGAGCGTGAATACGAGTGGTTTCACCCGTCTTGTGGTTCTTGACCGTGAGGATGACGCTGGAGTTGCCGCGGTGGCTCTCAATTACCGTGCTGGAGTACAGAACGTCGCCGGCGAGATCCTCCGCGACGGCATCGTACAAGTCCTGGTTCCGACCCGAGGAGGGCGCGAGTTGATTTTGCTTGCCCACCATCGCACGCGCCATGGAGGCGCCGAAACCCTGCAGCACGAACATGGTAGTTTCCTTGACCATGTTTCCCAGTCCTAGACCGGTGGACTGATACATCAGCGGGATAGCGGCTTCCAAACCATATTTGGTGATAAAGTCGCCATAGGGGATCAGAAGGTCCTCCGGGATTGCGTCTGGCTCTGGGAAGTTGCCGTAGCCAGGCTGCATGAGATGCTCCCACGGCTCCACAATCTCGAGAAATTTGGCCATCGCGGCCATCTGGTCTGCCATGGGAGGCAGTGTGAAATTGACTGGTTTTCCGGTCTTGAAGTCGATGTAGTCCGTGGAGACGCTGACCATCGATGGGGCTGCAACGGGAATGTCAAAGCGATCGAAGAAACCTGTTGCGTTTCCAGCTTCAAGGAATGTCATCACACCATAGTTATAGGGCTTGCCGGTCTTAGGATCGGTGTATGAGTCGACCATGCCACCCTACCCATTAAAGATGCGTCAGCTTTTACCTGTCATTGTCGCATGTTGCTGTGCGTGATGCGAAGGGTTTCGTTTGCTCACCAAGATATCCTGCTTCTCAATCAGGGCGATGCTCTTGCCAAAGTCGTCCCGGATACGAACGGCAGCGTAGGCACCAGAGGCACCGCCACCCACAACCACGACATCCTTATAGAGGACATTTGGTGATGAGCCCGCTGCGACCAGTGGCACCGCAGCTAAGAGGCCGAAGATGGATGTTGCCAGGGACGGCATATTGACAAGTATGCCTCCTTCCAAGAAGCTGGAAATTCAATTTTTGCAAGAGGCACCGCCTATGGCTAGGTTCAATGCGAGGAGCTAATTGACCAGAAGGTGGCGGCAGGAGCTATATAATTGTCACAGGGGGCGACCCGGACCATATTATAGTTCAATGTGAACGGCAGTCTCGTCCATGGTCGACTGCCGACATCTTGAGGGCAATAGGTCGCTAACGAGCGCTCCATAATACTAAGCGCATAGTGTCCTAACTCGACAGTACCGCCTGCCCCCAGGCCATATATATTCGTTAAGCGGCATTTTAGTTTATAATATGGTGAAACAATGGGACCAGCCTTCACATAAGTAGCGTGGGGGCCTTGTCTAAACCCTGTCAAGTACGTCGGGTGCGGTAAATTAGAGCAGTTTTTAGGCTATTATGGGCTAACAACCCCTTACAGGGATCAATATTAGTGCCCTTATTCTACCCTATCGTTTGCATGTCTCGACATGCTTGGCCGCATAATGAACCGTGTTCTGTCCCGCGGAATCCGAGCCAGTCGGATCATGGCGTGGACTCCAGAGCACAACGCCATAGACCGGCCATGGCAGTGGATCCACTCTGGTGCATTGGCACCGGGGAAGCTCGGACCGAGATAGACGGCAACGTACGGTGAAAGATCTTTTGGATGATACGGAGTACTTCCAGTTATTGCCGATGGGGCCAAAATTAGGTAACTAGGCTCGAGAAGCCTGTTCTCATTGGCGTCGGAGGTGGCAGGGTAGGGCTTCCTAAATTGCCATATATATTACCTCTACGCAAAGTGTCAGTCCTCTTTCCCCAGCAAAACCGGAGTCATATACCCTCGGTCTAAACAATTATGCCGTACCGTTTACCTATGTACTGGTATATCACAAACTAGAGTCAAAATACTGCGTGACTGGGTTCAAGATAGCGTTTCCTCGACGTCCTCAACGTGGCTAAATACCAGATAGCGACGTACACGTGTAGAAATCTAATCAATGACAAGGATCTGAATCCAAGCATGTGCTAAGCACAACGCGGCAGGAAAACTTTGATTAATTTCATGCTTACTCGGAGTACGTCGCATCAATTGTAATGACCATTCGCGCATGCCTCTCTGCAAGGCCAAGCCCTACCCTCCCTCTAATCTGAATTCCTGCGACAACCTAAGAAGCACTGTTGGCCCTAGTTACACATCTCCGATGATGAGGTGTATCTTCTCACTTGCCACGCCTTCAATGTCGGTTCCTGTACCAACCTCAATCCCTCCTTAAATGCCGACAACTACGGGCAATACCAGAGATGTGGTGGCTGATGAGAGCCATCTCGGTATCATTATCGGGGTACAGACAGCACTGACGGTCTTGGCCGTTGTTGTCGTCTGTCTCCGTCTCTATGTTCGGATGAGGATTGTCAGGAGTTCTGGGTGCGATGACTGGACTATGGCCCTCGCGGCGGTATGCGCTTCTCTTTACATACTCTTACCTTGAGCGTCGCATTGTATCGAATGCTTCGAATGAGCTCAGTTCACTACGTTGCGCAGCGCAGAGTTACTAACGAACCTTGCGCAGCTCTGCTCCCTCGGCGGCTGGGCTCTCTACATCTACAAAGCATGTCACGGTCTAGGCCACCACATCCAATTCCTAGACGAGAGGGATAGAATGAAGTTGAGCGAAGCGGCGTTCTGGCAGGTCATTATCTGCTCGGCTACCGGGATCGCGTTGCTCAAGATATCTATCGCGTTGAATTTGCTGAGGTTCAGCCCGACCCGATGGTACACCATGTCTTTATGGACAAGTATTGGTATGCCAGTCTTCTCCTTTGCCAATGAGACAAAGTAGCAGGCTAATAATGATTTCTATAGCATTTGTCGCAGCATACAGCTTCATGGCCGCGATGACTTTCTTCCTCCACTGCAAACCAATGCAAGCACATTGGGATACGCGCATCAAGGACGCGAAGTGCTACCCGGTACATCTATTCGTCGTCTTCGCTCTGATAAATACATGTATGTCTCCACAATCACGCATATCCAAGAAACGCTTCGCCAACCCAGTGACAGCCTTCAATATCTTCACCGACGTCCTCTTCGCAACGATCCCGATCCCGATCGTCTGGAATCTGCGAATGAAACGCCGAGTGCGCATGTATCTAATCGGCGTCTTCAGTCTCGGTTACTTGTCTGGACCCCTTTCCATCTCTGATCATACAAAAATCCCAACTAACAGATAAACAGCACAGTTGGTCTCGGCGTCATCAAAGCAGTAGCCCAACTCGCATACACAAACGAGAAGGATATTTTCTTGTAAGTTGCAGAGTTACATCACAATCCAACTGGGCATGCTAACGCACGTTCCTTCCAGTAATGACTCCATCCTCTTCTGGGGCCTGTACGTGTCTCTCTCCTTTGCACCCCCCATACATACAAGATGACTTACCGTTGATTTCCAGTGCCCAATTCAACGTTGGAATCCTGACCGCCTGCGTCCCCTCCCTGAAGCCCCTTGCCAGGAGAGCCCTCAAACTATCCGAATACACACATTCACGGTCGCGCTCACACGGACGATATGGAAGGAGATCGACAGGCCGGTGGACCAGTAGCAGACATAGCCGTCGGGTGTTCTCGATACACAGACGGGACCAGTATGGGATCGAGGAGTTGCACAGCCATGATGTGTCTACGCACAGTCAGTCTGATGAAGTGAAGCTCACGCCGTACGGAGCAACGGTATCGTTCACGGCTCATGTCGAGAGGGGGAGGCTTGATAATAGCAGTGAGATTGACGAGGATGTGCTTGCCGAAACGTCTCCAGAAAGACGCATGGTGGGGGGGATCTTGAAAACAACGCAAACTACTGTTGTTAGTAGTAGAGCTGCCGATTAGTGCTGTAATTATGATGGTGAAAATGAATTGACAGAAGCTAATAATAGAACGCTAATTCTATCACCAAAGTAACCACGCCACTAGCTGTGTATACGCTGCTTCATCATCGTCCGCCAGGGTGGGATCATAGTCACTCCCCAGACGACCCGCAACAACTTCCTTTGTGCGAATAGCGTCTCTCAAACAATCCGCTGCATATACATGCCCCTCCGCTTTATAAATCTGGTACTTGCGAAAGTACGCTAAAGCCAAATAGCCCTCCGCCTTTGGCAAGCTGCTAGCAATCGAGATGCATTCATCAAGAAGCTGTCTATACGTCGTTCACTTCCATTAGCATACTATCCCTTAGAAGGGGCCTAGTCAAACTCACAGAGCAGCCATAGATTTCTTCGTCAGGACCATGAGCTTGGCAACATGGCAAAGTGAATCACAAGTCTTAAAGCGAGCGCCGAACTTCTGTCGCCGGAACTGCAGGACTTTAGAGGCGAAGTCTAATGCTTCATCTAGCTGACCTTCAGCCTGTCGCACCATACTCAATAGCTGCATGCCACTGGCATACCGAGGTAAGCTTTCTCGCAGAAGTTGCTCGTCCGTTAGGTCGCGGACATCTGGGACGGAAGTGTACATGGCTTCGGCCTCGCGTGGCTTTCCCATTCGCAAAAGGCAACTGGCGATATTAGCGTAGGAGTTATCCACCATTCGGCAGTTGATTGCCTTACGGAAATCGAGTGATCGCTGGAGGTATGTCATGGCTTGGGGGAGGTCGCCTTGCTCCGTATAGGCGAGGCCTACGTTGCTGATGCTGACTCCTATTCCCCAGTCCGTTGGGGGTAATGTACTCTCCCGTATCTCCAGCGCTTTCTTCAGATTTTCCAGGGCCTTGGTGTTTTCCCGAAGGTCGACTTGCACTAATCCCATCACGTTGTGAGCTTGTGCATATCTGCTAGAGTTTGTGTCCCCCTTCCGCTCTAGGGCTTGCAGACACACCTGAAGGAGGCTTTGACTCTCCTCGTAGTATTCAGTCTCATACAAATACCTGAAGTGCGGGTCAGCAACTCATTTCTTTTTAACTATTCTCAACGTGGAGTGGATCCAGGCATGGTAGGGAATAGACAAGGACAAAGCGAGAGAAAAGGGGAGTGTGTGGGAAAATTAAAAGAAAGAGTCCTCACCATGAGCATCGAAGCAGGAGCTCAACAAACGTATCCAAACATTTCAATCCTTCTCCAACCTGCGCAAACCTCTCCGCCAAGAACATTACGTGTCGCAAGCATTTCTCACAAGCTTCCCAGGCATGATATACCCAAACAGACTCCTTATCAGTCCATGAACTTGGAAAGGCCTGGCATAGAAGCTGGGAGCACAAATCAAAATAGTAAGCTTTATCTGAAGGGGAAAGTCCTGAAAACGTTGCTTGTTGAATCAAACGGTGGACAGAAATGCTTTTGGTGCGTGGGTCACGGTCTATCAATGCGGCCCGGAGGAGCTCTGCTTTGGCATCCTCAAAGTCAATTGGGTCCGACAGAAACATTAGGCTAGAGTTATTGAATGGGGTCTGGTTGGAAAGTGCAGAGGCGGCATTGCATAAGGTAGTTTCGTCAATAGCCTCAGGATCAAGAAAGGCCAGTAGGCGTTGCAACACAGCTGCATTGCCGGTAAGCTTTTCCAAAGCAAGCTTCCAAACTGTTCCAATTGTGTGCTGGTAATCAAATGCTGCTGGCCGTCTCTTGTGTAGTTTATCCCAGTTATTTTGGTAAAGGACAAGGAAGTCCTTTATACTCATCTTCTGCTGCCGGATATAGCTGCTGATTTGGTTCAAGGCAAGGGGCAAGCCCCCTAGTGTCTTATTGAGCTCAGAAACTAATGAAGTGTTATTGGTATCGTGATAGATAGGCCCGAGAAGGCGCTGTAAAGCTTCAGTGCCCATTCTGGTATCGAAGACATTCACATAGATACCCTGTGATGCAGGGTGTAGACTGGCATTGAAGTCACGGGTTGTTATTAGGATAGACCCTACCACACCATGTGGCCAACCATTGTCCAGAACTTCTAAATTGTCAGCGTTATCGAATATAAGCAGCCAGGAGCATGTTGTATCTGCGAGCCAAGATTTCATCTTCGCCATGGCCCCGAACGCATCCTGAGTCTCCTGCGTTGCGGGCACCACACCGAGACGTCGCGCGACGGTCATGTAGTCTTGTGCCATTTTGACGGTACTATCGGCTGAAATCCAAAGAACTGCGTCATAGTGATCCCGTGCATGATAGGCATATTGCAGTGCTGTCTGGGTTTTCCCTGCACCACCAATTCCATACAACGCCAAGGTACGTGGGCCCGATCGACCGGCTTTAGGGCTCAGGGTATCGGCGATCTGGTCCAACAAATCTTCGCGGACATAGAAGCGGTCATTTAATGTTAGAGGAACGTGAAAGCAAGGTAGCTCTGGGCCGGCGTCTTTATGGCCGGTATTCAGCGATTGGAATAGCGTGATCATTTCATTGTTCCATTTTAAGGCCGCTGTCGTAGCTGCGCGTTGAGTCTCTCGATCCACTTGTTGGGATAGCATCTGGATCCGCTTGAGGACATGCTGAAACTCACGACTAAACTGCGGCCATGACTGCCGAATTGGGAGCACTGTAGAGAATATCCGTTAGCTTCAGTACAAGCGACTAATATAGGTCCGCCAAAGGTGATTGAAAGGGTACTCACAATGCTGACGCCGAACGCGAATGAAACTGATAGCACGCGCTGAAAACACAGCTAATTCAGTATAAAGCTCAACCATGGCGGTTTCCAACTTTTCATCCAGAATGACATTATCTTCAAACGGATGGATCCCAGGCAACGCCGCAATCAACTCTTCCAGCATAGCCTGGACCTCGCTGAAGATCTCTTCTAAGGGCGCCAATAGCTATGATGCACTCTCCCCTTAGAATCATGCCACAGTGCCGGGACAATGGATCTTACTGATAGCAAAAGACAGATTCCACCCCACAGTAGAGCGCCGGTTTTGACGTCAAGGGAAAACGACAAGACCAGCACAGTCATGAAGTCATTCAAGTATACCAGACTTGGACGAAATCTGGACAGACTCGCCAGCATAATGTTTTCATTTCGGTGAGCCTCCGCCACGCTCTTTAGTTGCGACAAAAGGATGTCGAGGGAGAAAGTCTCCATACAGATCTCCAGATCATTCTCATCATGCAAGCTTTCTTTAAATCGTTGCTGTACAAGGTTCCAGACCCGTGGTCGTGGGACTGCTTTGAGGGAAGATGCCCCCATTTCGAATCTGATATGCTGGATATCCTGCAAAGAAATTGAAGAAATCTAGATGAATACGCATTTTAGTCTTCAACAACTCGACTACGACGGTGTCGTGGAGAAGTATTTAATATTAATATCCTTTCTTTTTCCATTTTCTTTTCTTTTTCTCTGCCACAGCCTTGGAATCCATAACAGCCTTCCAATGGAATGAAATGGGTATTACGTATACAATACAAGCTGATACACTGTCATAAAACATGTATAGAGGCCTACAGTCCTATGCCAGCATTTTCTTGATCTCATCTCCCTCGCGGGCTGGAGTATAGATTATCACAATATAGAGCCCAGGCTCTTTGTGCAGTGGTTTTGTCTGCATTCCGGTAATTTCTACAACAGTTTTGGGAAGTCAGCCATCCCACCAGTCGTTAAACATCTTGTCAAGGCTGAATCGACCACCAAGACTCAAGGCTCCGAGCACAGATTGTCTCCCAATCTGGACTCGAATAAGTAGTCTGCTTTTGATAGGTTAGGTTTCAGAGATCGGCTCTACGTTCATCACATGGGCAAACACGCTAGGAGGAATCTATAACGATATATTGGCCAAACAGAACAGAGACACCTGGTACGAAGCACATACCATATGTTGCCATGTGGCTCCTGAGTTCACTACAATATCCAAGTTGATGTTGACGTTACACAGTATTTGCTAAGGTGACTGGGGGCTATTTCTGGCTTCACATTCCTACCTAGCTCGAAATTGTGCAGTGTTCTTTGGCCAACCTGAACAATAACGACGGTATGGTGGTCAGAGGCTCGTGCCACATATTTCAGAGTCTTCCTGAAGGAGTTAACGCAGATATTACCCACGACAGCGGATTTATGAGAAAGCTATTCTCCGGATATCCTTTCAACAGATCCGGAGAAACAGATGATAGAGAGCTTTCAACCTCCTGGAGGAGGTTTAACCATCATATTGACCTAACTCAAGTCGTAGCAGAACTCTCGTACCTGCGAGAACAGAATGCAGCCAATTCAATGCAAAAGGAAATCATAGACGGCTAAGCTAAATCTTTCAAGACCACAAAGGTCGAGTCTTCGCAACAGTTCCACAGATAGCAGCGCACTTCTACCATAGGAAGCCCCAGGCTTCACCAAGTATCCAGGAAATGATGAGAGACCATCCAGAGCTGTTCAGAACGGTGGAGTAGTAAGCTTTCCAGTCAATATTCAAGAATAATGGAGTTCATTCAAATAGGTACATTGGACTGGATTCCGACGTAAATTCATCGCCACGCTCAGTGAATAGCAATAAGCAACTCCAGCACGGACTCATAAATTCCACAATAATCACAGGTGGAATGGATGTTGATCACCCGGATGCTATATTGGCTGTCAGAGTCTTGAACTAGCTGTCGTAAACGAACGAGTCGAGCTCCAAATCACATACATCTTTGGTGGAGATCTTGTGTTTACTCAAAGTCAGTTGGACTTATCGCCAGCTGTAGAGCTAGCTTCGTCTTTATTCTCCTTGCCGATAGTCGTAGGACAAGGCATGTGCGTGTATGGCCCTGAATATGCGATGGCAGGAAGTATACCACCACCACCAACCGAAGAGAATCCAGAACCTCCACACGCGCCTGAGCCGCCGCCGCCCGATTCTTGTGGGTTCATATTGGTATAAATATTACCCGAGTGACAGCAACAGCCTGCGGCAATGCGCCGAGGTAACTGTCAGCGCGTTGCACTGTGGCCGATGTTGAACCACATACCTCGTTGATATTAGAAGACTGCTATTTGCGTGTCTGTGTTAGCTTGTCTCTTTATATGGACGTATGAGCCAAACCTGCATAGTTGAGAGAGCTGCGGTCTGGCTTATGGCGCATTTATAGTTCCCAGGACAGAGCCAGCAGTCTTACTCCATCACAGGCTGAAACCCTCATCGGGCACTACAGAAAACAATCACTACCAGATTGAAGCAGGCATACGCATATCTGCAAGGGCATTTAGTGTCCAATAAACAATCGCGTCTTGTCTATCCGGGGTAGATATGACGCACATACAAAGCAGCTGGCAGGTTCAGCAAGCCGATGCAGTCCAGTCTCTTGGTGAATCCAAAGAATGCTCAGTCTCAGTTCATTGTCCCTGTTGAACCTCGGCTGTATCCATCTTTCATTGTCTTCCGGGGTGGGTTAGTGCCCACGGACCTCCGCCATTGAGCCACGATGAAGATGCTGAGAAAGCTGTCACGATAGACTCGCCTTGTAAGACGTTATGACCCTTGCTTACAAGCGATTACCCGTACGGTATGTAATCATACATGTATGCATTTCCGAGCTAACCGCCAGCAAGTGCCGACGATGTAGTACATGGGTTGCACAGGCGCGGGCTGTTCTCAAACAATGACAGAGATTAGTGCGTTGATTTGTGGAGGATGTTTCCGTCCACTCTTACGGAGCATTGCTCACAATCATTTATGCGAAACTCGTCATATGATGCTTGTACAAAGCGTGTCAGAGAGAGCCTTGCCATGTCTACTAAAAACTACCCACGGAGGCAAGGGGAAAAATATCATGATATATGCTGATTCCTATTATCTCGAATGCCTCATTGAAACTCTTCATCATACGGGCAATGACTTGAGACACTAGTTGTTTGATGAAGCTATCTAGATATTCGTTGAAGCCTAATACATCTTCCTTATAGCCCTTTGCAGCTACGTTGTTCATATAACAAAGAGACCACAGGCACGGCACAAATGGCCTAGAATAGGGCCTCGAGGTCAATGGGGCTAAATCCAGCGTACGCTCAGCTGATCGCTCAACACAAAGACAGGTTTGTATCATTGGTAAACAATGATGCACTGCGAGTCTGGTCTAATCAGAAGCTCTCCGCGGATTTCCACCAGACTTTATTGGGAGATGGTTATCTTGCCCCGGAATACTCGGGCAGACTGGCTTTCCTCCAAGTATGATGCAATTGCTGATCTTCACGGTGGATGTGCCACTCTACTTACCTCGTCTAGAACAATGGCGACGATTATGCCCATAGCATTTACAGATCTTTCTACAGTTAACGGCCCTATACCAGAGTTTACAACCATCAAATGTCTGACATTGATGATCGGAGCTTGTCAATTCAGAAGCAAGCCAAAAACGGGATGGAATTGCATCAGGTACTTGAACGACTAGAAGGGGCTCACACACAGATTGAACGCGTTGGTGAAATTTGCGGGGCCTCGTCTATATCATATGGAGTTCTACATTACGGTGATATTATCTATACGAAAAGCGTGGGACTGAGAGACCAAGCGCAGCGTCTGCCGGCGGATTCACAAACTATTTATCCACTTGCGTCTGTATCGAAGGGCTTTCTAGCAGCTGCTGTGGGAATCCTGGTCGATGAAGGCAAGCTTGATTGGCATGTACCTATCCGCACGTATCTACCGCAGTTCAATCCCGTTAATGATCGAGATTTGGGACACTATGCCAACGTCATTGATCTGCTGAGCCATGCTACCGGCCTAGCACAGCATGACCTGCTCCATATTGGGCCACTTGGGTCAATAATCAGCGACTCGTCTAAGCTAATTCAGTTGCTGAATGCATTGCCGACATCCAACAGCCATGGGTCAAGGTTTCGCCGGTGGTGGCTCTACAACAATCATGTCTCAGCACTGGCGAGTCAAGTGCTTGAGAGTGTCTCAGACAGAACGCCCTACCCAGAATTTCTGGAGCAACGCATCCTACATCCTTTACGCATGTTCCGGACCTTCGTCTCCATAACCAGATTTTCCTCAGACTCAAACATAGCCTTACCATATGCTCGCCTATCCGATGGTTCCTTCGCGAAACTGCCATTCCCCGAACATCTCCAAGAGACAACCCACATTCTTGCAAGTCAGGGGGTTACCAGCTGCGTCCAAGACCTACTGATCTGGGCTAAAGCGATATTGGACCGTGAATCGTGGGAGCGGCTCCATGCTAACGAGAAGTCTGACCAGCCTTTTTTTCCACATAACCCACTGCGCCAAGTAGCAACCATCCGCCATGGCCACTACCCACACCCTTTCGATGACGCTCTAGGCCATCCGACCTATTACTGCCTGGGCTGGTTGAGCCTCACTCTCCCATCCGCAAACCTTGGTATGATTAGCTTCAACAAAGAAACGCGCCGCTCGGGCGACCATCTTGGCTATATACTAGGGAAGGATTCGCCACCGCTCAGAGTCATACTGCACAATGGTAAAGCTCCTGGCTACAATTCCGCCATATACACGTTTCCTGAGACATCTAGTGCAGTCATCGTGCTTGCCAGTGGAGCTACCGATGGTGATCCTGCTGACTGGTGCGCACGGATCCTGACGCAGGAGCTATTCGACCTGCAACCTCGGGTGGATATAGTAGGTTTGGCTGAAAAGGAAGCCATGCTTAGTCGGCGTTGGTTTGATGATTATATCCTGCGCCCATTAAGGGAAGATTCACAAAGAGGGGAAGAAGATAGCAGCGCTGGTTGCTGCAGTCTTGAAGCATACGAAGGCCGTTATCGCAATGTCCATCTCCTGACCACTCTCAATATTTGTCTCAACGACCCCAGTTCAGGTCTTACTGTCTCTTTCAATCACCGAGACGATAAAAAGTACCTTTTAAGGTTCCATAAAGAGCACGAATTCAGCTTCCTTCCCTCGGACCGAGATTCTTGGCTCCGCGACTGTATGTTGGAGGTATTTGACTACCGCACTGGGATATTCAAGTTTACGCATACAGATGGTGGTGTTTCTGGGCTATGGTGGAAGTGGAGTGCATGGGAGGACGCTTCCCTATTTACCAAGCTGACTACTACTTGAACAGGTATCGCTGGCTTTATTGCGAGGGTGCGCCATAAATGATTATACAAGCTGTTCACAAACACGCATTACAAATACCCTAGTACAAGCAGGGTGACTACGCCGAATCTCAAAACCTCTCTGGGATGTGCATGCAACGATAATGGCTGCAACACGTTTTAGTTGTACATCAGGTTCTATATGACACAGTGACATTCCGCTGGAACAATGATCCATAAATACAGTGCTAGAGGTCTGTTCTTGAACTCGGAAACAAATAACCACATATTCCACCTCCCCGGTTATAAAAACCTTCGCCGTTGGCCCATCTCCTGATTCTAAGGCACACTATACAGTACCTGCATGATCTGAAGAACGGTCTGAGCGAATGAGAGGAACAGTCCGACCCCTCCAATGAGTACAACAGCCCAGAATGTATACCATGCTTCCGTACTTCGTTTGTCCCGCCATAACTGTATCAGGCCCCGTGCCTTCTGGCATGCCAGATGCGTTTGGAGGGCTACAAATCGGCTGTGGAGGATTGGGAAGTCAGATACAAGACTAAACACGTCTTCGTGGTGGTCAATGGATATTGTTGTCAGAGTGCGGGAGCCACATAGTTCCCCAAGAAGAGGATCATGTTGGTCAGGCGGAAGGTCACTGAATGGACGTAGGGATCGGTAGAATTGTCGTCCCTTCGCTGAGAGTCCGAAAAGCAGGCGATATGATAGGAGAACTTCATATAGGAAGCTTGTCACATCTTCAGCGGTGGCCCAGTTGGTAGGATCGCCAGCTGGGGCGGTACAGCTTCACAAACATACGCCGTAAGCCATTGGACACTGGAATCGGTGTGCGCGAGAACAGTAAACACATACCCATGTATGACTCCTTGCACCCATTTCTCGCCCGATGAGTCTTTCTCGAGGTTTGCTGCGCAAAACGAAGGAAACCGAAAGAGGAACAAGGTTTTGGTGCGGTTATCAAACTCCAGATGGGCGCCCAGTGTGTCTATCCACCTAATTTTAATCCCGCCAATGGTTGCAAGAAGGGACATATTGAACTGCTTGGCATGAACTGTCACAAAGCTCTCAGGACTCTGACAATCTGTGCTTTTTGTTGGGAGTAAGTACCCGAAGCCAAGAAGGAACTCATGCATTGGGAGCCGAGCGCATCGATGATCCTGAGTATACGCCATGAAAGTCCGACTCTCGTAGCCAACCATTAATTGTGCAACTGCCATCTGCGCAGGATTGGCCACGTCCCACGTTGACTCCCATAACATTGTCTGCCATCCTAAAATAGTGAAAACAAGCACGCGCTGAAAGCATGTCTGCTCCACAGGTACCACACGGAATACATGGGACAACTGTAGTTGCGCCACGATATCATCAACCCTGGAGGCTTTACCTTCTTTCACGATTCGCGCAATTCCAAGATACGCTCTAAGTAGACTGGATCCTTCGATCAGCCCATTCACCTCCGCCAAAGCTGGCAAAGCCGTTGCAAGATCCAATGGCAGCTGCGAGGCCCGTCGATTTAGCCATGACCGGTACCACAGCATGCTCGGGCTAATCCGTGTTGTCGACTGACAGCAAGCGGGAAACACGGAAACGACAGATGAATGTGCAGCCGCATCTAAGAGGTCGTGATCTACAATTCGTGTTACCTCGGCGTTCGTTTATCCATCACACCTCGCTCACCTCTACTTGGTGGTATGATTCGCTGAGGTCGAATCGTTCCTCTAAATCTTCTCACGGCGCTCTTGTTTCTTTTCTCTTTCCAGGAAACCATCATAACAAAATGATATAGGATACTGAGGTCAACATAGGCTGTACTTCAACTGAGACATACAGCGAAGATGCGGGCATTATGGGGGTATCCTGAATACAGGTTCGCATAATCGCCTTGTGAGGGCTGCGGCTGCGCCACGCTACGTGGACGGTGGGCAACATAAGGCGAGCATAGTGGAGGCAAATCAATTATCATGGTCGCAATAAGGTGCTGGATCAAGACTGCCCAACTATTGCTTGAAACCTGATGGAAACTCAAAGTTGGGCTATCCGGATATCTTAGATATTGGATACTGCCCTACGTCCTAGCCATCGTTTTCATCTATCACCTGATTGCATTGCCCTATAACGGCCGTTCCTATGCGCCGGTAAGCGGTAATGACCGAACGTTTTTCATTGGAGGTGCCGTGTCAAATCCATTCGCCTGAGGATTTGCTCTGATACCCAACGCCTTTGGCGTGGGTAATCCTTGCTAAGTTAATATCAGCATCTTTTAATACCGTCCTCAGGGCTGCCAACCCAAACGGTGACATCATAAGTTATCTGACATCCACAATTTCCTTGCCTTGGAATCAGAGTCGGTTCTCAGGTTCCATCTTGAGCCATTCTCAACCTGTGAGCTGATCATCTGACCTGTCGAGAATGCAGGCAAAGCCGCCTAGCCAAAGCTTCAATTACCGCTCTGTGAGCTGCGCCCGGCCTTGAGCAAGATTTCTCGTAGAGTCTATTCCTTAGGCCGTTCTTCTATGTCGGTGATCAGTCCAGCAAGGTTTTCGAATAACTTATGCATATGAGATATAGACCACTTCTGCATCAAGTTGTCGCCAGAGGGCCTTCGGAAGGGTGACTCTCCAGGGATATGCTATATGCACAGTCAATCTAATAAACACAGCCGTGAGGGAAGTTTAAGATTAGCTTACTTCTTCACTGTTCCCCTAACTGCAGCCCTGAATCCTGCCCTCGCAAGCCAAACTAGGGTTTCTCTGAGACTGTAAAGCAGCCTCTCGGCATGAAGCTTGCTGTTGTCCATGTCGCTGAAACAAACTCTGGTTTAAACTGAGACTTTGGAGCAGACGATACAATGATGAATATGCAAGAGTTAATCTTTGTTTAGTGGGATAGCTCTTATATGGACATATGTGAAGGGGAAGGTTGTGTTATTTCCTGCCCATGTCTTGGCCCAAGTAACAAAGGAGACAACAAAGAAGCAAGATTAGGGCCAGTACCCAAGATCGGTGTAATTAAGGATTACTTACAGACCCATAGAAGAAAGACCATACTTATTCTTCTTTCCCTCCAAAGACGTTCTCTTTCAGAGAAGATAGAGGCCTTCAAACTGAATCAAATATGATGCTCGGTTCTCAGAGGCTTAGGTCTCCTATTCAAAGAGCTCTTCGCGATCTCCCATCACCGTACCTCAGCCCCATTAGCTCGAGGAAGAATAAACAAGGGTAAAATAACGGATTAAGTGAGAAAGACAATTCCTTGGCTAAACTAGATACATGCAATTCTTCAACCTCAGTCTTTTTTCCACCACTAAGCCGAACAGCCATTCTGCCAAAAGAGTCTCTGGAAGCGACTCGCCCCTACTAGGGGACCAGGATAACTGTAGAAATCTACAAAGGAGGCTCCCACAAGAATTCACCACATTCGAGACAAGCCGATGCTTCAAGGCAAGTCAGTATTGCCGTGTTTGAGTCTTAGCATGCCTCTATGTCAGGCATGCTCTCGTCATCGTCATCATTGGAACAGTCGAAATCGCCTTCAGGGTTCTTATATGGCTTTGCAGTGTCTCCCAGGACGTTTGTGACGCGTCGCTCGAGCTCTTCAGCCAGAAATATCCTCTGCACCGCCAATTGATCCAGCCCTCGTAAACGCTGAATCATGTCCACCACTCCACTGAGCTTCAAGCAAGTCTCCTTCAGCGCCAGAGTGGTCAACGGAAGTCGATTAAGCAGAGAGTGACATTCTTCGTCACTGTCACAGTGGAAATCAGGGTGCGGAACTTCCTCTCTGTCGTCGCTGACAGCAGGTTCTCCCCCAATGAGGAAGACCTCGGGGACACCAATTTCGTTATAAAGCTTTTGCCATCTCAATGCGCAGGCAATACTTCTGTCAAATTCCTCAATAAATTTGAGCGTTTCACCCTCCATGGTTCGAATATCTGTTCCTTCATCTAACATTCCAAGATCGAGCATGACCTTCCGAGAAATATACGCTCTGACAGCCTCCTCGCTCCACCCCCTTGAGACTCCATCTTCAAGTGAAGTCATATACTGTTGGCCAAGCTCAACCATAGCAATACGAGATTGCAAAGTGCAGTAGACAGTGTTGGCTTTGGCAGTCTCCAGCTCTATAAACAAACCGGTGAGGTCGAGCGTGGGCCGGCACAATGAAGAAAGGCCGAAATACTTCCAATGAGCTTCCCTCAGCGTAGCAAAGTATCGTGCACATTTTGGGTTTGAAGAGACTGCAATAGTCGCCTTCCCCGGTGTCGCTCCCTTGGACTGTTGAATCTCATGCACCGCCAGTTGAAGCCCTGGTTGGTCTTGTCCTTGCCTGTCCGGTGGTAACTGTCTTGGAGGAGTGTCCTGATGCAATCGCTTCCGTTTTTCAGCAGTCTTACTAGCGGTACAAATGTTATGGTACTTGGCACACTCCTAATGTAGCTGTCGTCAGTGTCTGCCGACAACCAGATGTATGGAAAGTGATATAGTAGTTCTTGCACGAATTACCGTACTTTCTTCGTATCAATTCGACACCGGGTGCATTTCAGGTTTTGCAATCGTTCGCAGACAGTGAAATCCGGTGCAATCTCCATTCCAACAGTAAAGAGAAATCGGGATACTGCCCAAAGGAAGGGTTTGGTAGAAAAATTAGGCAAATACAGCGAGTAACAAGTATGATGAACGGATTCAGAATAATATGGGTGTTGCAAACTCTTCGTCCTCCTTATACGCTACACTTTAGGGTCATTGATAGCACAGGATCTTCGCCGATCACTATCCATTCTCGAATTTTGCTATCCTTGCCCGTCCTCCAAGATCAATATCAATATCATCAATTCTCCCTCATTTGTATAGCTAACCAAATCCGGTTAAATCCATCGTATCTTAGTTTTACTACCGCATCATTAGCCAATCAATAAAGTCTCTATCTCACTTTTGACCACCTTTTGACCACCTTTTGACCACCTTTTGACCACCTTTTGGCCACCTCTTGTCCACCTCTTGTCCACCTTTTGACCACCTCTTGTCCACCTTTTGTCCACCTTTTGTCCACCTCTTGACCATTTTTGTCCATTTTTGACCATCTCGCCCCATCTCGCCCCCGTAATTCCCACTACTAATACTCCTATCACTCCCTATTGACTTTTCCCCATACCTGCAATCTGAGTACCCAATCATCGCCGCTATTCAAGAAGCCACCTACAGTCAACTTACACAGAAGTTTCAAATCCAGAGCATCCGACCTTGGCATACCCACCGTTAACAATACCCCTTCAAACTTCAACAAGGCTGAGTCGCAGGTAGGTTTAATTATGGAAGGTGTCTAATATACAAGATAGCCTACATCGCTACGGTCGGACCGAAGATGATACTACGTTTAATACGAATCAGATTGCTTCGGGGAAATCAACAGCTACACTACAGACATGAATAATGTCCCGATGCGACGAGGGAATTTTAAACATCGACTCGGCAACTAGGCCTTCGACTGAGCCATCGCGCAGCGTTGATCCTTGCGAACCTGAAATTAGCATCAACTAACCCGGCAGTGCCTTGGAGACTTGTCAAGATATAGAGCGACGAAGTCAGAGTGGCCAGGGCAACACTCCGTTGAGAAGGACTATACTACCTCCGGTTAAGCGGCTGCCTTGCGATATACTAGTGCTTACTCTTATTTCGAAGCGTTATATACAAGGATTTAGTTAGTTATACCCCGAATTCGCAGTGGTGCAATGGGGGAAATGGTTTGGGTTTTATAGGGTGGTATCACCCTGTGTATCTAGGGAAGATTCGACTTAGGGCTGGTACTCTACTCTTTTGATAACTTGGAAATGGCAGGTCACAGTAACTACTACCTACCTAGCCACTACCGGGTATGTTCGGTGATTATGATTGGAGGCTTTGGAAATCAGAGAAACTTAATCTGGAATCAATCTGACATATTAATACAATCATTGAATCAGACAAGCCGTTAGATATCTCAACACAGAACTGCACCGCCTCCACGCAATCACTGATACGTAACCTTCAACTCCGAATCACTAACAACAGTCGGAACCGCCTGAACAGTATTGCTGGAGCCATCCTGAACCGCATACAGAGCCGATCCATCCAGCCCATACTCCTTCCCACCGGCCCTCGCAACACATCCCGTAAAAGTAGCCTCCCCGAAATCCACAAACGTCAATCCATCACCATCAACCGCCAAATCCTCCAGAATCCACTCCGCATTCTGACCCGTCAAAGTCGCAGTCGCCGCCGGAGCAGAAGCAGTAACCGTGACATTCTTCCCCGTCGTCAAGTTCTCGATCACCGCCACGCCCTGACTGCTCGACGTCGACTCGACACTGGCGAAGACCACGTCCCCGAAATGGAACTCGAGGTCGATATCCACCGAGTTGGCCGGATACCACTCGTACCAGCCGGCGAAGGACGGCTGCCCGTTTTGCACGTAGATGTCCACGCCCGCTTGCCAGATCGCGTCGCCGGATGTCGCCCCGTCGATGCCCACCCAGAAGGACGCCGCTTGCGTTTCGGATGATGGCGCCGCCGTGGGCGTCACGGACGGCAGCGTGAACGTCGCGGCCACGTAGCTGTACGTCGCGCTGGCCGCCGGGGCCTTTTCCTGCACCGCGCCCGCCCAGTTCTCGTTGATCAGGTAGCTGTCTTCGGACTGCGCCTGGCTGTGGGCGATGGCCTTGGATTTGGCCTGCGGTGCCGCCGTGATTTGCGCGCTGGGCGCTTCGTCTTGCGCGCCGGGAAGACTGTCGATGTCGATTTCCCCAAGCCAGCCTGGGCCCTGGAAGCGCCGGGCTCGGAGGCCTTGCGGTCCGGCGAGGGCAGTGCCGGTTAGGAAGGCTGTCAAAGCCAGGGAAGAAGAGAATTTCATAGTGGTAAAACGGTATGAGAACTATGTATGCAGAAGTGAAAGTATTAAAATATCCGATCCCGCCAGATAATGAGCGAATGAACGAATGAATGTATGGTCCAGGCGAAAGATTCCAGATCTTCTGCAATGGACTGCAGAAACGAAGTGACAGGGTGTGATTTGCTTTTTAAGGCGTCGGCTATGGTTAAGCCATGGAGGAAGACGAAGGCTTCGGTTTCATGTTGATTGAGCTAAGTCCCGTTAGTCGTCTGGTTTAAACGGCAGTGTTCACTGCAAACCACCCGTTGATCCCACAGCCCCTATTGTTATATTGGGCTTTTAATTAATGCACGGAGTATGTCCGGGAACCAACTGCTGCTGGCCAACCATGGTGTGAGTGAAAGATTGGTGGGAAAGCTTGCAGGTGCTTAACAGACAGTAAGTATGCCAGACCCACCGTCGGTAGATGGACGACAGTTAGGTAGGGCTCGATGGTAAGATTACTTGTCCCACTCTGAAACAACCGGCGCTCCTAACCCAATGCGGGAAGATTTTCGATATGCGAAACTCGCCTGTTCGTCTTGTGTATGGATTCGAAGTATAATTAAGTACTCCTTAGTTTGGTGACTCTGGTGGCTGTCGGTGGGGTGCTTGACAGCCTCCAGGGCTGAGATGGCCAAGAAGCTCGAGAGCTCGAATCGTGAAGTGGCATATTTCCTCACCATCATCGCCGAACCGGATTTGTTGTCTTATGTGCCCTTCAAGCCGGCCATCAATATTTGCAATTGGCCGTGATTTAGCAAAGACACTGCCATTTCTTTGACGTGGAAATTGAAACCCGTTGGCAAACCCTCCGTTTGGCTCACTCTAATATCCTTAACAATTTGGAGGCATGACCCCGTCAGCATCCATGGTATCTTATTTGGTTGATCATTAGAGTAGCACTGGGTTGTGTCAGCTCTAGACATACATCTTGCTCGAGTATTTATTTAAAGTATAAATCTGTTTTGTGAACTTGGCCCTGGTAGAGATTACTTCTAGCTCTTTGATGGCGGAACATTGATATGAAATAAATAATCATTGGAAAGTGTCATATCCAATATCCGTACCATTGCTGGGTATCAAAGGAAAAGCCATAAATACAACATCAACATGACCACCATTTAAGAAATCTCAATCACTATCCTCGTCCTCGTCCTCATCCTCATCTTCTTCGTCCTCCGCTCTCCTCCGACTCCGTGTCTGTCTCTCCCGTGGCCCTTCTTCCTCCGCATCCCCATCCTGCTGCTCCTCCTCCTCCTCGCGCGGTTCAGGCAGCTTCATCCCCAAACTCCTCGCCAACCTCCCCTCGAAATCCTCCCTCTGCTCCGCCGTACCGTTGCCACCCCCATAAACCTCCCTCACCAACCCCGCCACGCCTGCAGCCCCAACCTCCATCTTCCCCCTCGGTCCCACCATATACTCAATTACTTCCTCGCCGCCATCCATCTCCCGCATCCGAACCAGATACCCATCTCTACACATCCGCGCCAGTAACCGATCCGTGCGATCAATCGGCGTATACGTATCGGCATTCGTCCGCGCCAAATACCGATCCAGCTTCTGCTCCGGTAATGAGCCCCCATTGAGCATGATCACGGCGATAATAAACGAATATAATCCAGTATAGGTACTCTCCCACGGGGCTTTGGTCGGCGGCAGAATCTCAGGGCGTCGGTACGCGGCCGGTAATGTACTACCCACGATCCAGGATTTGTTCGTTGAGGAGGGTCGTTCGACTTTCTGGGCCGCTGCATTTCCCCGTGTCTATTAGCACTCATTCACACTCCACAACTAAACCCGGAAAAAGAATGGGAAAGAACTGACCCCGCCGATCATGAATAGTGACCCTCTCCCGCACCGGCAACTCAACCATCTGCATCCCAAACTTCTCCCGCAAAACCTTCTGCGCCGCTTCAAACACTACCTTAAATTGTCTCGCCCCCTGCTCGCCCAGCACCTTCGCGCTAATCTCCGTCCGGCGGATCGGCTGCCGCGCATACTCGCTGGCCAGGGCCAGGCGCACCATCTTCTTCACCATCACGTCTGCGCTGCTTGGGTGGTGCGTTGCATCGTCGTCGCTGTCGGAGGGTGACGCTTGGGTATGGTTCAAGGTGCGGCGGCGTTGGGGGGTTGGTTCTGGGTCTTGTTCTTGGTCTGAGTCTGATGATGAGTCTGGCTCGGAGGAATTTGCGGGTGGGGGGTCCTTTGGGTTGTTAGTTTATTTCTTTGGAAGGGGCTAGATTGGGGAGGGCTTACGGCACGGCGTTTGCGGATGAGGGGCATTGTTTTGTTTCGAAGTCTTTTCTCAGTGTATTTGGTTCGAGTGGGGGAATAATGAGTTGAATGCACGTCGAGTAGATTTAGGTCGTTATCGAGTTATCAGATTTGATACTGGTTAATTTAGTGACGCGACGCGAGTGGATATGGCGCTAAGCTTCTCTGGGATGGACCGTGATCGAGCTTCATTGGGCAGTCACATGTTCGATCACATGTGATCTGCGAGGATCAGTTGATGGAACTTTTTAACTGTTGCACCACTGGTTTCCCAGTTGCTGTTTTGTTTTTTCTTGTTTTGTTTATTATGTTTTTGACTGAGGGATATAATATTGGTTGGTTTGTGCTAGTGGAGTAGTTACTGTTTGGTTCGAGGTGAGATTCAATTGGGTATTGATATCATAGAGGTCGAGTAGTGTATCAAAGAACCGGTGGCCATGAGACAGGACTCCGGCTTTTTAGAAAGAGAAATGAGTACAACAAATAGCTGCGCAGAAAAAAGATCAAGACACCCTTCTAGAAACAGAAATTAAACATGAAAGCCTGCTAGACAAAGAATCCTCCATTGAAAATTAAACACCACCCATCTCTAGTTGTTGGCCTTGTCGATCTTGTCGTTGACCACGTCCTTCACTTGCTCCTTCTTGGCCTGCAGCAAGGAGCTGAGGAAGCCCAGCGACTCCTGCGACAGGACCAAGCTGGTTGTGATCAGCGCCTTGCCGCTGGCCACCACACCGTCGCCGCCACACTTCTTGTACTCAGATCCGTAGGTGTCGAATACGTGGGCCTTGGCATCGCCTACGAGTCGTACGGGATAGGTGGCGTTGTCGTAGATGGTGCCCCGGAGCTTCTCGGTGTCCTCCTTGATGAAAGGGAATCGCGAGTCGATCTGAGACAGTCCTTGGTCGCCGAGAGAGTCTGCGCGGGCCAGGTAGGGGGCGATGTAGCCGTAGGGTTTGGAGAGGTAGGGCAGGAAGGGCTTCGCGATGCGGTCATAGCTCTGGTCGGCGTACTCTATGGACTTGGCGCCGTACTTGTTGCTCTTGAAGACGGAGATGGAGTCGGAGACGACGGGGTAGGATGTGAGGTGCTATATCCAGGGTGAGTGATGGACCAGGAAGGGTCGCGATGGAGGCATGGCTTACATCAAGGAAGTGCGAGTGGACCTTCTCGCCGTTGACAACGTTTTCACCCATCTTTTTTGGCTCTGCGTGAGGCATCGGTTACTATCGGGGGAGGAGGGTTAGTACTTGGGATGGAGCTGGATGAGGATCGGCGAGGTGCAGTGCATCGCATACCTGAGGAGGTAGGAGTATGTAAGCCACGAACGATCGGAGACTAAGGGAGGTCAAGCTCTACTGGTAGGAGAAGAGCAAAAAGTTTTATAAGAAAGCTTGGTGGGGTGGGAGGAGAAGAAAAAAGGGAGCGTCAGGAGAAGTACAATCAGTTCGAGAAAAGGACCAGGACAGAAGGATATTTATTAGCTTTTCGAGGTATTAAACAATCACATCAGATAGAATTTTTGCTCATCAGAGACGACGATAATAGAATAAGTAATAAGAAAGCACCAAAGCATGTGATAGCGGATCCGCAACTTGACTGAACGCAAGCGGAGGGGCAAAAAATTCAAAATATCAAAAAACCAAAATAAATCGAATCAAAATAGTGTTACACTACGGCTAAGGTCCGACTCATCATTGGCATCTCATCGGGCTAGAATATCGTCCAGCGATAGTCCAGCATCCTCTTATTTGCTCGCAGGGTCGGCCCGATCGTCATTCTGGGCAAGCAAGCCAACCGGGGCCTTGAGTCGTGGAAGTTGTCAATCTGGTTGCCTGAGGGTAGGATGGATGGGAAAACGGGCTGGTTCCTTGGAAGGGGAGAGATAAGGTGAAGGCGCAAATCGAATGATCTTTGGACCTTTCCAGCACATTGCGTTATCGTCCGTGGCGCGCGAGAAGATTTGATGGACGTTGAAACCGGAAAGGCAAATGAGATGCTCGAGTGTTAGTGGGCTGACGGCATGTGATTGCGGGTCATCCTTTTTTATCTGTCTCTGGGCACTAAGTTAGTGCAAGTGTGTACGTCGTGCACTTCTTCCAGGACCGCATCCTCGTCCTAGAAGATCGTTTATTATTATCCACGCCTCCGTGATGATCCTCTAAACTTATTCAGAGAAAAGGTTATTTTGATTTCGCGATTTTCTTAAATCATGAACAAAATGCAGAACCGTCTGAATAAATAAAATATAATAAACTAATAGATTAGAAAATATAACTATAACATGACTGACCCAAGAATCTGAAGAAAAATATATGAATCATGCATGAGTGTACTGACTCGTCCAGACTGATGAAGCGACGCCTCCTCCGACAACGCCTTGGCCTTGCCTTTCATTCAAGCGCAAAGACTTTTCCTTCTCTTCGTTTCCCCTTTTGAGTTGGATCCGCCCCCGTTGGTCTGAGCGCCGTCTGTCTAGCCAACAATCGCTCTCCTTGGCCCCATCTCGCTGTCAAGCACCGGTTTCCCATTTTACGCTGATCCATCTTTACAGCCCTCCCCCCGACACTCGACCGGCATGGCATTTTCTAGCGTCAACCCCGTGCATCGTACTTTTGCCGCAATTCTCATCTTATTTCCCATATGATCGGGACGACTAGGTTGCATTGGGGAGTTGTAGCAAGCTCTCTCACTGGGATAGGCTCATAAGCTAAGGGGACCTAGGTGCCTGTGGCTGGAAGACCCTGGATTTCATCATGTGTAACTCATTTCAGCAGTAGCCGCGAAGCACATGATAGTAATATATACTCCCTGGTCTGGTGCTGTCCATAGCTTGTGAAAGGTGAATATGTGCTTTCGGATGCATATGGTAGCATAGACTGTGTTATGCATGTCATTATATATTTCTGACCGCGACCTGTCATTCGACTCGCAACCCCACCAACAACATTCCGTATGCAAGGAAGACAAACATTCATTGTGTTCCTACGCATATTCTAGACTCGTCACAAAGAAAAACGCAATAGAGAAATCAAAAACAGAAAAAAAAAAGACTCAACATAAAACACCTCCTCAGTAGATCCACCCGCGGAGAAAAACACAAGCAAGAGCACAGACAGGCACATCCGCGTCTCTTCCTACTGGGCCGGACCCCAACCCGCAAAAGGGAACGTAGACGCCGCTCGCAATGAGCAAGGAGAACGCTATGGATTACTATAGTTCGATCGCTCAATACGAGCTCCCACTTACACATACTAAGGTTCCTACCGCATGCCGCACGGCCATTCGTAGGACGACTAGCCGCCCACGGTTGGTCGCTGCATGCATGGACCGGTCCAGTCCATCTACGAGGACGTTCCACTTCCGTCCGGAGTACAGCGGCTACGGGGATGAGGTGGCCCTGGATGTCGGTTGTCTATTGCTGTTCCCCGCTTCTCGGATTGCTGCTGTCCGTCCGGTTTGCTTGATTGCGGAGATACGGAAGATGCGGGGATCTTTATGCGCCAAGTGGACGTCGAGTTTGTCCCTCTGCTCGAGCACGTGTGCTCGTCCGAGGGTTTGACTTGATGCTTCATTAGGAGGGGAAAACAAGATAGAGTAATATATATCTCTCCATGGGGTTTGGGGTGGGGGAAAGGATCCGGAGCAGGAACCAAAATCACATTGATAGAGGACTTGAGACTTAGCGCTGCGATAAGGCCAAGTCACGGGGTATAGTCCCGGGAATCTGTAGTCACATCGTAGTCATCTCAGACAAAGGAAGATTTTGAATTTGTTCATATTTCCATTTCATTGCGAGGACGCCAGATCTCTGTGGCCTCCTTCATTATCAAAAAAGAAAAATGGCCAAGTCCTGGACTTGTACATCGATACATTCCCCATGCGTCCGCCAGCTATGGTATCCGTCCTCTTGTGTCATGAACCGAATGTGCTCGATGCCCTTTTTTTCTTGCCTCATCTAAGACCTTGCGCGCTCAAACGACATAACGCCCAAAAAAACCCCGTTTAGAAACCTGTCTTCGGTCAGCGTGCGCCCATGTAGGATATACACAAATAGAAAAAAACGTACGAAGAGGAGTGAAGAACCAACGGTTCTTGCCGCTGGTGTAGCGGTCCTCAAGGGCCTTCTTGACGGTCTTCTTGGCGTCCTCACGCTGGGAAACCTCCTTGAAGGTGTCGTTGGTGACGGAGCCCTTGAGACCCTCGAGCTCGAGGGTGTAACGGGTGGGCATCAAGTGGTTGTAGTTGACAACCTTGATGAAAGGCTTGATGCGGCTGCGCTTCTCGACGGTCTTCTTACCCATGCGGCGGGTGACCTTCAGGGGGTAACGCTCGATACCGGCAACGACGGCATAGGCGAAGGGGTGCGCCTTGGAGCCAGTGTCGTTAGGCTGGACAATGACGACCTATACCAGCGGTCCTGTCAGCTTCATCCCTTCACACGTCTGATCCACGAAAACCCGAACACGCTATCTGCCGCCCATCTAACTTCTCGCTGGATGTCGTTGAATGTGTCGTAGATTCTCGTCGTCTTCCAAGAAAAATTCATTCGCTCCCGCCAAAACAAACGCCATAGCACACAGTTCGCCTCGCGCAGAAACGGAAAAAGGGAATCATTTCGTGTCGTACCTTCTTACCGGCGTAACGGCCACGGGTGATGATGGCCACACGGCCCACTTTCATGACTATCGCGACATCCTGTCAGCTGGCATTCAAACGTAGTGAATCAAAAATCGGGGTGGTAGAGCGATCAACTAACACTTCATTGTGAAAGTCCCGGCGGCAACAAGGTCGATGGGGTTGGTTGTCGATGTGCTTCGGTCGAGTAAAGAGAGTCTCCGCCGTCGACGTTCTTTTTTTCGCTTGAGAATCAGGGCTTGCTCAGGGCTTTTGTGCGCCCGTCTCTCATTGGTTGCATTACCGATGCTTCCGTCGCTAAGCCAGTCTGGGATAATTTCCCCAACGGGCTTAGTACCCGAGATTGGCCGGGGGGGCATCGGACAAACTTTTCCTCTTGACCGTGGATGCTCTCACCGCCCATGACGGCATTGTTTACTCGGCAACGGGGCGTCTATCGGTTGCTAGGACGAAGCTTTGATGTGTACACGAGGGATTGGGTCCGATGCTGGTTGATGCCCCATGAGCTACCATTCAAATCTCCCTCCAGTTCTCAAACTCCACTCGGCTGTTTGGGTCACTTATTTCTGTTTTAATTGATTATACTCCAAGATCTACTCTACTACCCTCGGGTCTCTTCAATCGTGGTCCGTTCCTCGTCTAGTTCCTCCTCTCCATCCCTCTACAGCAAGCGCATTGATACCTTTTTTTTTTTTTCTGTTCTGTTTTCACGATCCTTGTTTTCCTGCTGTGCGACGTCCTTTGATGCGACCAAGAGTTATCTGCTTTTGCTTTGTTTTGACGATTTGATATGCCTAACGACCTTAATTGAACGAACATTCTTCTGCGCATTCCCCTACATTAACCCCTCTTGCCCCCGATTCCAGCTTGTGTTTTCAACTGTCGAGGAACAAACGATACAGAAAGTCTACCCTCTAAGCCAGGTCTTACAATGCCGGCGGCTCACACTCGCGACGGTTCCCGAGACCGGGAGCTCGTTGTCAGACACCAATCAATTCCCATGTATGTCTCAAGTATCCCCTAAACAAAGACCGGTTGCCGCCCAATGGCAAATGAAGGACTGCCGTAGACTAACCTTGACATCGTGGAAATGAAGGTGGGACAGCTCAGACCCCGAACGGGCGCCTCCACCGCTGCCCATGAACCCCGGTTCAACCAGCCCCGCGACGAAGGGCAACGTTTCGCCCGGTATCCAAGCGATGGCGGCCTCCTTTACAGAGAAGATGCGGGAAAACGCCCCAAGTCCATACATTTCTAACCCCATGCCGCCGAAGTCTTCGCCGGAGAAGTCTCTGATCAAAGGCCAATTCCACAAGCGCATGCAGTCGTTTCAGAATAGCTCGGATCCGCGATCGGAGTTCCTAAACTATCTAGAGAGCAAATCACCGGAACGGCCTCAGCGAGCGTCGACGTTTGATTCGACGACAAAGCCGCTGGAGAAGAGTCTAATGAAATCTGAGGTAGAAGAGCCGGAAGCAGACCACGAGCCCCCGAACTTGCTCATCTCGCCCCGTTATCTCTCCAAACCGATCCTCGGGGAAAGCACCCCGCCCTCTGCCACCATGCTCGCGCTGCAGAATATGCAGCTCCCCTGTGAACCCGATTCGCAACCCAAGAGTGTCGAGTCGGACCCGTTCGTAGGGCCGAGCCGTCCTCCCAACTATAGCTTCGAATCCTTGTCCACACAAATCCACAGTCTTACCGATATTGCCAGCAACCTCCAGCGCGAAATGGCCCAACTCAGTCGTCGAAGCAAGGATAATGCGACAGACCTCGTTAGTTTGAAAGCCGCCACGAATGCACGAGACGAAGATATCCGGAAAAGCCTCCGGGAGCTGTCGTCCAACCTGAATTCGAGGTTTCTGGAACCTGATGCTGCCACAAGGTTTGATTTCAGTACTCTCCTGGGTTCTGATAGTGGTGTTAACCATAGGGAATCGGATAGTTCTCCGAACTCGAAGAAGAGCTATGGACGGATGCCAAGTCCAAATCCCTTCGCGGCCGCGATGGAACGCGAGTTGGCCGCTTCGCCTACGCCCATCTCCGATGGCTCGGCCAGCATTGCCCTTTTGGAGAAGGTGCTCCGGGAGATGGCCACCAAGGAAGGTCAGGAAAAGCTTACGGAGCTGGTCGACGAGATCAAAGCCCGCCCCGTCTCGGATGTTACCGGCGAACCGCTTGATAGTAGGACAACAAAAATGCTAGAGGAGATCCTGAGTATCGTCAAGGACGAGTGGGAGAGCAAGGCTTTGGTACGGACACGTGCACCTTCTGATGCTGGTCATGCTGCTTTCAAGACAGGCAGATCAAAATCCATGGACCCTGAGCACTTATACGCTCCGGACCTGGACATGGTTCCCGGCGACAATGGCCGACTATCAGCACGTTCTATGTCTCACTCCGACGAGCAAACGACGGATGAAATGCTGTCAATCATGCGACGAGTGAAGAACAGCGTGATTGAAGGGGGGGGCATGACAAATGAAGTGAAAGCACTGGTACGCGAGTTGCGCGGCGAGGTGCTGGGCATGGGGCGAAACCTGGCCCGGAAACTGGAAGATATCGAGATAGCTCGCGAAGCTGCAGAGGACAAGCCCGCCGGCTCCGGAAAGGAGGAGATCTCCACTATTGTCAACGACAGTCTGTGCGAGCTGAGGGAGCAGCTGGAAGCAATCCTCAGCGAAAACAAGCAGCATTCAGCTGCTCTCTTAGACTTCCGCTCCGCAATGGATGGCGCCCAGATATACTCCATTGTCCAACGGGCCTTTAATGATCTCGACTTCTCACAATTGCGAGATGAACCGAGGGGCGCCACAATGGAAAAGGACGACATCTTGGATGCAGTTAGAGACGCCTGGGAAACGTACAAGCCCGAGATTGAGCTGGAGAACTTTGGACTGGAACGTGATGAGATCCTGGAATGTCTGTCAGAAGGTCTGAAAGCCTACCAGCCGCGGCATGAAGATGCGGTCACATATGATCAAGTCCTGGCAGCTGTACAGGCGGGTATGCAGCAGTTTGAGCAACCACCTAGCATCACTAAGGACGAGATTGTGCACACGATCCGTGAATGTCTCGAAACCTCTCAGACTGCTACCCGGTCTGTACACGATGAGAAGTTGGATGCTATGCGGGAAGATATACTGCAGGCGGTTACCCAATCCGTAGCATCTCAGAGTGCACTTACGAGGGAGTCACTTGACTCTGGCCTTGGTCGCGAGGAGATCTTGAACGCGGTTGGGCACGGCATCCAAGCGCACTTTACCTCTTCTCGGCAGCTTGAACAACCACACATCACCAAGGAGGATGTTGCTAATGTCGTCAACGATGCATTTTATGCTCAGCAGTCAGCTCTCAGTACCAATGTGCAACCTACGATTTCCCGCGACGAAATCCTCGCAGCTATTGCCGAGGGGCTGGAGGCTCAGAATAGCATGACCCGGGAGATCGAATTAAACAAGGACGATCTCATGGAAGCTATCTCAGCGGGACTCCAGGAGGCCAACGCCGAAAACCACAACATCGGGGACCAGATTCTTGAACGAGTCCTGGAGCACCATGACGGTATGAGAGAGGAGTTGAAGCAGCAGTCCCTGGCTAAGGAGAACGACACGATGCAGATTCTGGACGCAATTAAGGATGGTATCGCTGTGGTGCGACAGGAGGTCGAAGGCTACGCTGCTACCGCTGCCGAAGCCTCTGGCACGCATGAAATCATGGACACTGTGAAGGAAGGGTTCCGACTGCTCCAGGCGGACATGGAAAGGACAATCGCTGAGAGCGTAGTGGCTAGTGTTCCCCGCAACCCGGATACCCCAGAGCTTCTCGATGCAATGGAGAAGGAGTTTGAACACCTTCGATCTACTATCAGCTCTCTACTGCGGACGGAACAGAGCACCTCCAGTGACAAGGATGAAATCCTCGACGCCATTCGCGATGCCTCGGAGGCTCAGAAAATCCCCAAGAACCAGGATATTGCCAGCCTTATCAAACAAGAATTTGAGCAGCTTAGGGAATCGATGAACATGAGCCTTGTTCGTGCGGAGCCCGAAGCGCCGAAGAGTGACAAAGACGAGATCATTGCCGCTCTCCGTGAGAACCTTGACTCTTTCCGGGGCGAGAAGAGCGTGACGAGTGACAAGGATGATATCATCGCTGCACTTCGTGACCATCTGGAAAGCTTCCATGGGGAGCGGACTGATAAGGACGAAATTGTTGCAGCTGTCCGTGAGAACCTCGACGCTTTCCGGGGCGAGAAGAGCGTGACAAATGACAAGGATGAGATCATTGCCGCCCTGCGCGAAAGCTTTGAGACCTTCCGGGGCGAGAAAAGCACAACAAGTGATAAGGATGAGATTATTGCTGCCCTTCGTGAGAGCTTTGACGCCTTCCGGGGTGAGAAGAGCGAGACGAATGACAAGGATGAGATCATTGCTGCGCTTCGCGAGCATCTTGAAAGCTTCCGTGGTGAGAGGACCGATAAGGACGAAATTATCGCCGCTCTACGGGAAAACCTCGAGACTTTCCGTGATGAGGGCAGTCGTTCGCGAGATCTTGGCGACAATGAGTTCTCAACTGGCGATCTGATTGACGTCTTCAATGATGGTGTTGGGAATATCCGGGATGACCTGGGCAAACTGTTGGAAAGACCAGTGGAGTTTGACTACAACGAACTTCTTGACACTCTGAAGGAAGGACTTAGCAGTCTCAAAGCCGACGTCGAGATGTTGCGCAAGTCCCAGCTGGACGCCGAAGACGTTACCACAACTAGAGGTGGAGAGCTGATGCTTGCCAATCAACCCAGCCAACCTACGCCACATAGTCAACCCGACATTAGTAGTGATATGGAAGCGCTCAAATCTCTCATTTCCCAGCTTCAAACGAAGGTCGAAGCCATTGAATCTGCACCGCGCGCCGCGGAACCCGCTACAGACGCTCTCAAGAAAGAACACCTGGATGAGGTCCTAGCAGGCCTACATGAACTCCAGGGCTCCGTCACGGGTATTGTGGCGCGCGAGAACCCTGCAGATGACACGACTGCCAAGAAGGAGGACACGGAGGCGATCGAGACCTTGTTGCGGAGCACGAAGGCTCAGCTCGATGAGATGAAGTTCCCCGCCGCGGATGAGCTCGCCAGAGCCGAGCAGCTGGGCAGCCTGGAAACTACAGTGAAGGAGACGAAGGAAGCCCTATTCGAACTAAGCACCCGCTTGGAAGCTGAGGGCCCGACCAAGTCTGAGATCGG